GGGGTCAGAGAGGGGCTAGGGGTAGGGGCTGAATGAGGGGTAGGCTGGGAAGAAGGGCAAGGGAGGGGTCTGAGAGCTGAGGCAGGTGGCCCAGGTGCGGCCCAGGCAGGCAGCCGAGGTGTGGCCCAGGCAGGCAGGGGACTGTGAGATGTTGCTGCCTCCCCCAGCCCCCATTCTCGTTGCTCTTCTTCCTCACAGATTCCAGAGGAGGTGGGTCTCAGATGGGATCCCCATCCCCAAAAGAGAGACCCGGGGCCTTGGACAACCTGAGGTCCAAGTCCAGGGTTAGGGAGGGGGGATCCACTCCTGGGGCAAGCTTAGGCTGCTGGGTGAGAAGGGGTGGGTTTGGGCGGGGTTCTCTAGAGGGGTGCGGTGGGCTGGAAGTCTGAGCTGGGCTCAACTTGGGGGGTCGTGGTCATGCCTGGGCGCGCCTCCCTCCTGCCTTGCCTCCCCAGTTGCTGGGCCTCTGGGACTCTCCGCGCAGCCGCGAGCTCCTGCCGGGCCTGCTGCGCGCCGACCGCTCGCCCTTCTGCGCCCGCCGCGACGTGAGCCGCCGCTGCCGCCTGCGGCCGGGCCACTACTTGGTGGTGCCAAGCGCGGCCCGCGCCGGCGACGAGGCCGACTTCACGCTGCGCATCTTCTCAGAGCGCCGCCACACGGCCGTGTGAGCCCCGCCCCGGCCGTGTAACCTGGGGACCTGGCCCGGGCTCCCTGAACCGCATAGACCAGCCCAAAGCCCCCCGTGCCCGTTTCCCGAGGCCCCCGGACCCACCTCCGAATCCCCAGCCTCGCGTGGCGTAGCCCCGGGCCCCGAGACCCCCTCGCCAGGCCCCGCCCCGGGGCCCCGCCCGTCTAGGGACCAGCCCTCCCCCCCATTCCCCTCTGTAATTTGCAGGGAGATCGACGACGTGATCAGCGCAGACCTGCAGGTCCTCATGGTGAGTGACTGCTCCGGGAGGGGGCGAACGCGCGGAGGTCCCCTGGGCCAAAACTAAACACTCTCCACCCTACAGGTCCCCCACGTGCTCCTGGAGCTGGGCTTGGAGCAGTTGTTTCTGGAGCTGGCAGGAGAGGTGAGGAGGGGGCCAGGGCTGAGGGAGTCGCTCCTCTCTTCTATCTTTCTTGTTGTTAGGTACCATTGAGTCGGTTTCGACCCGCGGAGACCCTGCGTAGAACGGAACAAAACACGACCGGGTCGCTTTGTGCCTTAGTTTCTCCCTCCGCTGCGTGCTTGCGTCCCCTGACCCGCTTCCGTCCCTTTGCTCAGTCTGCCGCCCGCGCCAGTGTTCTGTAATACCCTCTCGTCTCCCTTCACATGCGGCCAGCCCTGGAACCCTCTGTGACCCCTGCCTGGGCTGGGCTCCTGCACCCACTGCGCCCCTGTCGCAGTCCTGACCACTCTGGGCTGCCACTTTCTGGCGGATGGGTCTCTCCCCTGCGGACTGTGAGAGGGGCAGCTGTGTCCCCACACTGCCCAGCACAGGGTGGGCCCGGTGCACCTTGTGGGACCGACTTCACCAGGAGTGGTGGGTCCCACAGTCGACCTCTCCCCGACCAGGAGGAAGAGCTCAGTGCCCCCCAGCTCCAGGTCTTATTAAGCATTGCCCTGGAGCCTGGTGAGTTGTGTGTGTGTATGTATGTGTGTGTGATGGTCTTGGCCAGGGGTCCTTGCAATCAGATCTAAACCCCTGTGTGCGAGTCAGGTCACAGTTGCAGGACCTGTGGCCAGCGTCATGGCCACTGATAAACTCCCCTTCTTCGAGTGAGAGACTGGGATTATCTGCTGTGAGCAGACTCTCATCCACCCTGTCTGTTCAAATCCCAGTTTTGCTAGTCACCTAGGCTCTGCGCCTCGGTTTCCCCATATACAAAACAGGGATAGCAACAATTCTTAGGGTTTTATTTTTAAAAAAATTTATTGTGATCTGGGTGAAAGAGCAAATTCTTATTCCATACAATAGTTCATACACATTTTGTTTCATGACATTGATTACAATCCCCACAATGTAACAGCTCTCTTCCCACCTCCTCCCTGTAGTTACCTCTCCCCTGTGAACTTTCCTGTGCATTCCTGCTCCCTGAGCCATCTCCCTGTGCAAATACTTCCCTTCTGTTCTCCCACGATTGATTACTCTAAGGAGTATATCTGCCTGATGTAAATGTTCACCCCATGTGTCTATTGTTTGGCTGGAAGCCACAGGAGTGAGTTCAATTCCAGGCCTGAAGGAACTAGGGGCCATAGTCTCACCAGGCTCCATCAGACCAGTAAACAACAATGCTTACTTTAAAGAGTTAACACCCTCAAGGCAGTTACAATGCCAGCTGCCTCACAGGAGTGCCATTTTTGAGGGTTTTCCCCTACAGGCAGGGCCCACACCCGGACCCCTGCAGAGATTGGGCTCAGGACCTGTGAGCAGCTGCTGCAGTGCTTTGGGGTAACGGGGACAGTGCTTGGGCTGGGAGGGGGTTTGGGCCTCTGCTCCCCTTCTAAGGACACTAAGCTTTACCAGCCATCCTCTCCCTAGGGTGGGAAAAGCCTGGCCCTGCCCCACTTCCAGCAGCTTTGGGGCCGCCTCCTAGAGTGGCAGGTAAGGTGGGGGCTGGGTGAGGCTGCCTCCTTTTGGAGGGAGGAGTACCTCCGCTAAAGGGCTAGAGATCCCCAGAGGACAGGGAGAGACTGGACCACCCATGCCGATATCCCCGCCCCAGCCACCCCTGTGGTCTCTCTAGGGGATGCTGGCACTGGCCAGGCCGTGCTGGTACTATTTTAGACTGGGAAACTGAGGACCAGAGTGGCTAAACTGCTTGCCCAGGGTCCACAGGTGGGAAGAAGGGAGCTGGGACAGGAAGCAGGCGGTCCGGTCTCCGAGGACCTTCTCAGCTCTCTTCAGGGTGCTGAGGCCTGGGGCTGGCAGTGACCCCACCTCCCCGCCCAGGCCACATTTGACAAGTTCGATGAGGATGCCTCGGGAACCATGAATTCCTACGAGCTGAGGCTGGCGCTGAAGGCAGCAGGTGTGGACAGCGGCGGTGGGGGCTGGGCACTCCGGACGGGCCTGCTCCCCCTCCCAACCCCTTTCCTCAGAGTCCCACTGCCCACTGGGCTGTGGTCACCCACAGGCCCACGCCTTAATTGCTGCCAGTGCCTGGCAGAGCCTCAGGGACCCTGACAGCGGCCCAATGGCAGGACTCATGTGCACATGGGGAGAGGAGGGCGTGACCTGGAGGGAGGAATCTGTTCCATACACTCCCCTCCCTGTCTGCTGTGCTGGGGGGTTCGTGGTGACCAGAAGCCCTCTGACCTCTATAGCTTCCACCTCAGAGGCCAACAGAGCCAACTAACAGTGACAGCCTACAAGGGTCAGGCTGGGGGTGGGGGTGGGGGTGCAGGCAGAGGGGTTGGGCTAGGCTGGGGAGGTGCAGGGGGCTGTGGGAACCCAGAGGGGGGGCCTGATGCTTCGTGCTGGGGGTGTCCCGGGGGGCTTCCTGGAGGAGTGCATGATGAGAAAGAATGCTCTGAACCGAGAGGACAAAGGTGTTCTGGGCAGAGGGAATGTCATGTGCAGAGGAGGCAATAAAAGCCCAAGGACCAACTGGGAAGATGGAGGTGGGGAGGAGGAGCAGGTCTGCAGGAACCACACTAGGCAGCTGAGGGCAGTGCAGGCTCTGGGAAGGGGAACAGAGGGCCTGCTAACCTCTTGGTGAGTAGTCTCATGAGCACATGGGGACCCCACACAGGACAGAACAGATGAGCCTTGAAAGTTCAGTCTCCGTGAAAGGGCCTTCCTGCCTGTCTGGCCGCATTCCCCCACAGCCCCACCCAAACACACAAGGGCAGCTGGAGAGGGTGAGGGATTTGTGGGGGGGCACACAGCCAGCATCAGGCCACAGGCCTCTGGACTTTGCCCTGCCAGACAGCACCCAGGACAGAAAGCAAAGAACACTCACTGCCGTGGAGTTGGATCCGACTCATAGTGACTCGTCTTTGCAGTATCACTGTGGAAGCAGATTGCCCAACTTTCCTTTTGAGGAGTGGCTGGTGGGTTTGAGCCACCAGCCTTCTGGTCTGCAGCCAGATGCCTTAGGCGCTGCGCCACCAGAGCAGGGCAATCGCTGCCTGGTGTCAAGTCCGTCGCAACTCACCACGCGCAAACAGTAGAACCGCCCCACGGTGTTCTGGGCAGTAATCTTTGTGCGAGCAGACTGCCAGGTCTTTCTCCCAGAAAGCCACCAGGTGGGTTCAAACTGGCAGCCTTAGGTTGGCAGCTGAAATGTGCTTACCCACTGTGGCACGCAGTCTCCCTATCAGCCCTCGGTGAATATTTGAGTGATGTAAGGCGCACAGATAGCAGGCTACAGGAGGCAGTGAACGCACATGCCGTTCTGTCTAGCGGGGTGGAGGGGGCAGAGTTGAGCCTCTGTGACCTGCAAGGGGTCAAGGACCCCCATTTGAGGCTTCTAAGTGCTGCGATTCCACAGCACAGACTTCTACTTTAGGTGGACTCCATGGGGGCTGGCTACAACATTGCACTGCATAGAAACATCTCCAGTGCCCAGGCAGCCAGAGTTCTGCAGAACTGGAAGGGACGGTACCGAAAGCCAGCCCTTCCGTGTCCAGCACTATGCTGAGTCCTCCATGTAATCCTCCCACCACTCTCTGGAGCCAGCTGTCACAGTCCCCACCCACCTCATAGACGAGAACCTTGAGGTCCAGAGCAGTGAAGGGTTGTTTGTGGTTTGGGGCCAGGCTGGGAAGTGAACCCAGGCTGCTGCACTGAGGCCGAGCAGGCCCTGGGGCTACTTCTTCCTGGCGATCAGGGCTCACAGGGGCAGCCCAGTCTAAGAGGTGGCTCCCCCTAGGCTTCCATCTGAACAACCAGCTGACCCAGGTCCTCACTAGCCGCTACCGGGATAGCCGCCTGCGTGTGGACTTTGAGCGCTTCGTTTCCTGCGCAGCCCGGCTAACCTGCATCTTCCGTTAGTGCCACCCCAGGCCTGGGTGGGTGGGGGCGCGGGGCTGGTGGGATGGAGCTCATCCCTGCCCTCTCACACAGGCCACTGCAGCCAGCATCTGGATGGGGGTGAGGGCGTCATCTGCCTAACCCACAGACAGGTGAGCCCAGGCTGCAGGGTGTGGGTGGCTCTGGGGGCTGAGGTGAGAAGGCGCTGCCTCCAGCCTGCTGTCCCCTCTCTCCCCCCCAGTGGATGGAGGTGGCCACCTTCTCCTAGGATCTCAGGAACAAGTGCCTGCTGCTGGAGGCAGGGGAGCTGCTGGGGCCACCTTCCCCTACCCTAGCCCAGGGCTCACTCCCCAGAGGAAGGGCTGAGGCCCAGCAGAGCCACCTTGCCTCCTCTAGCTCCCTGCCTGGCCCCCCGTCGGAGGCGCAGACATCACGTGGTCCAGAGCATGGAATTGAGCTGACTGCCCAGTGATGCTGGGCTGCCACCGTGCCTCTCTGCCCCTCGCTCTCATCTGCCACCTGTGTGCCTGCCTTGTGCACACACATCAGTTAGCCTGTGCTGAGGGCTCAGCACCAAGCCTGGCCCGGGGTGGGTGTGGGGCCCACACTCAGGGAGCAGGGGTGGGGCTCCACTCCTGCTGCTCCCAGGGAAAGGGGTTCCACAAGCACCCTCCTGAGGTGTGGAGGGCAGAGACAGGAGAGAAAGAGAGAGAGGACACTCTAGGAATCCTTCTTAAAAATATTACATGTTTTATTTTCCTGTCCCCAGAAGGGTGGTTTATCCAGAAACCGAGAAAAAAAAAAAAATCAGAATAAACTAAAAAAAAAAAAAAAAAAAAAAAAAAGGGGGGGGGATGGGGAGCAAAACCATCAACTAACAGGCGGCCGGGCCAGCGTCACCCTCCACCTTGGGAGGGCCCAGAGACCCAGGCCGACATAAAGCCAACAGCGGGACTCAGTCAGGGCCAGGCAAGGGAGAATCAGCTATTCTTCATTCCAAGAGCGAGAGGCAGCAAAGACGAGTTGCTAGGTGGATATATATTTATATAATAAATCCGTAAGTTAATAAAGTAAATAGTAATCTCTGAAAGTTTTTCATTTTTTTTTTTTCAGCTTTTCTTTTTTTTTTTTTTTTGGTGGATTTTTTGCTTTTGTTTGTTTTTGGTCCTTAGAAAACATGAAAGAGAAGCAAGTCTGGGCGAGCGAGGCGGGGC